TTTCGAGTCCTTTGGCGAATTAAGAGAGCTCGTTCATGGAAGAAGCGAAATTCAAAGTTGGGAAGTACAGCGCAGAGGAAAGGAAAGAGAGGAATAAGAAGGTCCTTAGGGCATTTTTATTTTTTAATTGAATAAAAAAAAACACATTATGCTCACATGCAGAAATCTATTAAAAATTTAACGAAATTTAACGAAAATGACAAAATTGTCACATTTTAAAGAGTTTACGAGTCGTTTTGTCAAAAAAAAAAAAATTAAAGATCAAACTGTCACTTACTAAAAAGTTTAGAAACCATTTGTGCAATTTACTTTTATTTTATCTGTACAATTTCAAAAGGGCATTTTGGACTTTTCAAAAATCAATTATTCTCCTAGTTATTGTCCAGAAAAAAAAAGGTTGGGAAAAGAAACCATTGGGCATTGGTTATACCGTAGATTAGGTATTTTCTGCCCCGTTAAAGACGGCTCTCTCTTTGATTTATTCTGATTTAAATATCTATAACTTTGTGTGACAGGAAGCTTCCTGTGTGTCAGCACATGGGTCAAATCATGCACCTTAAGCTTCTCTACTGTACACGTGCCCCGTACGGTGTGTCGTAACTCCGAACACAAAGCCATCGCTTTCAGAAGATACTGATGTGGGACCCATCTGCTCATCGGTCTTTTTAGTCATTTGACGAGTCCTTTGCTGTGTGAGCGACTACACACTAGACTAACCTTGATGGAAAACCAACGACAGAAGGGAACGAAAGTAAGAATTTTTAGATGATCATGGACCAGTAATTACGTGTTTAGCTTGGGACCCACCAAAGAGTCTGACTAGAATTACATGTATGCACTCCTAAATAATGTATAATTTCGAGCAATTTCTGACCGCTGATGTGGCTGATTGAACATATCTGGTTTTTTTTTTTTTTTTTTTTTTTTTTTTTTGGAAAATAGTCTAGAGACAAGAAAGAACAACAACAAAAGGGCTGCCCAAACAGAAGTGCAAAGCCAAACTAGCTAATTTAAAGAAAATAAAGAAAATAATTAGGAACACAAGTTACACAACCAACATTCCTCAATAAACAAACACCGGCATAAATAGTCCATGATAAATTAATATCTCGTTAATTTTACTAATTTAATTTTTTAATTTTAATTTTATTATATTAAAGTTCCGTTCATTTTACTAATTCGAGTCAAATTTTATTACAGTATAAAATTTTAAAAAACAGTCACATCTAATTTTTTTTTTACAATAAAAAATTTTCACATAAAGTCATATCTCAACTCGAATTAATAAACTAAATGGATTTAAAAATTTTTATATAAATCATATCTCAATTCAAATTAAAAACTCAAATTACGTGCTATATTGTTAACTTCCCTAATCTTACTAAAAAAGTAACACAAAAAATTCGAGTGACAGATTCACTCGATCCTTTGATACCTCTGCCAATGTCTTTACTACTAATTTAGCACCGCTGGGGCTTCTCTCATCATAACCGAGGCGCAATCCAGTTTGTTGATTTTCAAAGTTTGGCTTTTTTGCGCTAATTCATTAGCTAAATATCATTATTTCTTTTTTCTTTTTTCTTTTTTCTTCATGAAAAATGAAAAAAGATTCCAATTTACTTATTAAACTTTTTGTACCAAGTGATTTTAACAGTGAATTGCCATGTTTTTGTGAAAAGGTTTACAGAAAATTATATTTTTATTTAAAAAAAATTTAATTTCTAATTTATTGTTATTGGATACAAAAAATTAATAAATAACTTAAACTGCTGCCATTGTTTTTTCTTAATTATAGCCTGATTTTTGGCTAGGCATGATAACAGTTGAAATTCATGTTCTATGGTATTCAGCTAAAAAAAAAGTTCATGTTCTAATTTCTATGCTAAAAAAAAAAGTTGAAGTTCCTGTTAAGCAGTATTAAAAAAATAATAAAAAATAGTTATCATCATTTGTTTTTTGTTTTTTTTTTTCCGATTTACTAACTTGGGTCTTGCAAGATTCATATAAAAATCTTTCTCCTAGGCCTACATGATCCAACAAGTGAAGATGGAACAACTAAGGGGATGTTTATTTTATGTATTCATCTTTATTTTTGAATCATAATTCATGATTTTTTATAGTATTTTTTTTCTCGTAAAAAATTTAAATTTTAAAAATCAGAATCTATAAACCAAACGTTACCTATGATGTCGTGATAGTTTATTCCATTTTTGCTTTTAACTTTCATTGGTTTTTCTTGAGCTATTAAAACACCTCATTTTTCGTCCCTCAAAATTTAGAAAATGTCATTTGAATCTTTAATCAATGTTTTTAATTCAAATTAGTCCCTTACCTTGTTTCGGTAAGTTTTTATCAAAAGATGTGATAGTAATTGATATAATGGTAATCACTAATCATACAATTTTTTTTTGACACACTAATCACACAATTTCTATGCTTAAGTCTCACTAAATTTTGTAGCAAAATTTGCCATGTCTAGTACTAATCTAGTTTGCAAGATCTCTCACTTCTCTTCCGGCCACGATATGCGGCTTCGAACGGAGCAAAAACCCGTTAAAGGTAAGGTTTTAATCCTTAAAATTTTGTTTCTAAGCTTTATTATTGGAATAAATTTGTCATTTAAGACCTTTTTGTTTAACTTACCCAATCCACATGTTGACACGTGGTAATTTCCATCCACCAACTAACGGAAGGACTAGTTTCATTACAATTTTAGAGCCTTTTAAGTAACGTATATGTATATGAGTGTGTTTGAAATTCGAGAGAGACGTATTGTTACAAGATGGAAAATTTAGAGGAAAAATAAAATGTATATATTTTTTAAGAGAAAAAGTGTTGCAATATGTATGTATGATGCATTTTCTTCTTTTGAACTCCACTTTTAGATCTTTTATCTAACTAATGTGTTGTGTTAAGTTAGACGTGTAATGACATAAGTTAAAATTGAGTCTATCTTTTAAGTAGAATTAGATAATTCTTTTTCGTTTCATTGGGAGCTCTCTAATTCTCAAAGTGACGAAACAAATATAAAATAAAATGACACTAATAACTTAAGCAAAAAAAAAAAAAAAAAAAAAAAAAAAAAAAAAATTCCAAACCCGCCCCACAATCCGACCCACCACAAAGTATAGGGTTTAAATGCCCATCTTAAATTCAATAAAGAAAAAAAGAAGAAGAAGAAGAAATAATCATATATTGATGGTGGGTCATGTGGTTAAGAAATAATCATATATTGACGTTTTACAGCCGCTTGATTTTGAACATGTTTTTGGCAGCTGTTGATCAGTTAATAACATGTCAATAAATTTTTGAATAAAAACATACTGCTTAATCAGATTGCCATATTGACTATACCGTCCTTAGTTTAAGTAAACCATCCAAAGTGCAAAAAACTCAGAAAGTACTTGAACCATTTTTCCCTAAAAAATAAAAGGAAAATAAATAAACAAATAAAACAAACAAGCCACGTGGCATCGAAAGAGTCAAATTCATGGGATACCCACTATGTAACATGGACATGTACTGATTTGTCCTCTCTTATTTCCACCAAATTCTGCAAAATGTATAAAGATTTCTTCTACGACTACAAATTTGCCAACAAGAAAATTTACATAGAATCACTCAAATTGGATTAAATTCTCACTGTACAATTTCTTGAAAATCTTTTGGATTTTCCTAATCTTAAATTACTGTATGTGAGGAACGGTCACAGTGATAGACTTTCATCAATAATGGAAGCCAATTAAATTGCACAGCTAAATTCTGAACCCAATTTTATTTATTTATTTTGTCCGCTATATCAACGTGTTTGTGACTATTGAGTGGTCTCCTGGCGGGTGACTTTAGAGTAGACTTTATTGATATTAGGGAGGCACTAAAAATTTTATCAACATCATGTCACCACATACAACCTAAGAACATAAAAAATCATTTCACAAGAAAACATATTTATAAAAATAAAAAAATGGAAAAAGCCCAAATAATAAAAATAAAAATGGGAAAAAGGAATTTTTAAGATAAGAAGACAAATAGGCCCTCCTTTTCTCTTTTTCTGTTTTGGTTGGCTAAGTAATAGCTTTATCTTTTTTTTTCCTCTTTCGCAAATTTCTGATATTGGTCAAAATATTTTCCCAAAATTTCAGTGCTTCTCAAAACCAGATTTTTCCGTTTGTGTATTGTGTTGTAGTTTTATTAGGCCTGGTCACTTCACCGATTTGAGTTTTGTTACAGTAAAAAGTTCTCAGAAACAGTCATATCTAACTTTTTTACTACAGTAAAAAGCTCTCATATAAAATTACATCTCAACTCTAATTACAAACTCAAATCAGCGAAATGAACAGATCCATTTATTTATTTTTGTGGGTTTTTGAAAAATTTGCTTGCTTGCACAAAGCGGAAAAGTCTTCATAGTCAAACAGGGGATATAGGCAATAATATTCCTCTACCTTTCACTCACATTACGTGTTAACAACAGTTTTTTTTCCCCCTTTTTTTTCATCTTTTTATAACCCTTTTTATTATTCACATTAGCCTTATATTTATAAAGATATTTGAAAAAAAAAAAGAGAGTTGAAATCTTTTAATAACATCAAAATAAAAAGAAAAGAAAAGCTCAACATTTTACTTCATATACAATACAACTAGGAAGTCACATACACACATATACAATACAAGCCCCTCTCTCTCTCTCTCTCTCTCTCTCTCTCTCTCTTATTTCACCTTCCTTTCCACATCCATTTATGAGAGATTCCTCCAATGGTCTTTTCCCTTCCATTGGATTGTACAGAGTCCCAGCTACAAAACCCATCTCAATCCCTTGATTTCTTGTTGATTTTAGCCTCTTTTTCTCTGATTTTTCTTAACACTGTAAAGACATAAAAGAAAGGAAGGAAAAAAAAAAAAAAAAAACTTCTCTTCTGGTTCTCTTGGCTTCCGCTTTGTTCTGCAAACAAACTCTTTTTCTGGTTTTTTTTTTTTTATTTTTGCTGCAGAAAAAAATAATCCATACCCAGTTGTATATGTTCAAAGAGAATAATCATTTTTTCTTTTGTTTTGCATAAATTTTGACTTTCTCACTCTTTTTTTTTGTGTCTTTCTGTCAATAAATTATTTCTTTTTTGCTCCTTTATTCTTCTATAAATTTTCCATCTCTTCAATTTGTGGAAGAAAGAGAGAAAGCATGGGCAAGCAAGGACCTTGCCATCACTGTGGAGTTACAAGTGAGTTCTTGTTTCTCCATTTTTTTTCCTTTCCATTTCCAAAAAATTAAAAATAAATTTTCTTGGGTTCTTTCTTTTTTGTGGAAGAAAAATTCTGGAAATAATTCGTTATGGAAGAGAATTGAAGTTTGGGGAAAGAGAAGAAATTAATTTACCTGGGCAAGGAGTTAAATACAAAATCTAGAATTATATGAAACTGCTGCTATTTGTAATGTTTCTGTTTGTATATGAACTCTGAACTACAAGTGTCCTTTTTGTTTCTTTTTTAATATCTTTTTTTTTTTTTTTTTTTGCTTCTTTGAGTTCTGAATTTCTTTCGTGAATTTAATTGCTCATGTTCTCATTTTTAGACCTCTTTTTTCTTTCCTCTTTTATTGATTGGTGTTTTTTTGTCCCTTTGACTCTCATTCAAGAATCAAGACTCAACATGTGTCTCACCAATGCAATATTTGAGCTCCGGAGTCTTGAGAGTTTTGTACATAATTTGCTTATTTCTATGTTATTTATGAACTCAGAGACAAACCCACAATTCTTGTTTGCAATATGAGTTACAAATTCAATTTGCAAGGAAATGTGCTTTTTTTAAGTGCCCATATTTGAATTCCTTACATTTCCAATAGCTAATGGTCCAAAATTACAATTGCTTGAGAAAAAACTTCCTTTTTACTGAAAGGCTATTATGTTTGTTATATCCTCTCTTCTATAGCTTTAGTTTTTCTTTTCATTTGGGATGGGAGTTCAATAGCTTTAAGTCTTGAAATTGTTGAAATTTCTTAAAAGATTAGTTGTGTTATTGTAATAGCTAAAAAAATTCTAAATGTTTACTTCACTAAACCATTTAACATCGAGTTTTTAGTTTCAAAACTTGTCACAAGTGGAGTTTATGTTCAATTCAGTTCAAGGTAAATTCAAAACCTTGTGTCAGCACAATGAAGAATGATCCTAATTATTTGTGCGGAAATTACAGTGATCCCATTTGCAGTGACTATTAAATAAGCTCTTTTAATCAAGTGTTCCAAAGTGAAAATGAAGAACACGAGCTTCTCTTAGTCACAAATGATTGTAGTGACCATTTTTTCTGGCAATGCACAAGCGTTTTACTGATCCAAGACCATCATTTTAGAATAATCATAGGATTGCATCTTGGTTTCTTGAAGAAGAGCTGATTGTTTTTGTGTTATCTTAACGTTACAATTTGAAATGGATTTTTACAACGATGGAGATTGAAACACATGGGTGTTTGGTTATGTGTTTCAACACTTTCTTTTTATTGTTCTATATGTATTGACTTCTAACAAACAAGTATTGGAACAGGCACCCCCCTTTGGCGCAATGGGCCTCCTGAGAAGCCAGTGCTGTGCAATGCATGCGGATCTCGATGGAGGACAAAGGGAACACTAGCAAATTACACGCCTCTTCATGCTCGGGCTGAGCCTGATGATTTTGAAGATCACAGAGTTGCCAAGGTGAAGAGCATATCCATAAACAAGAACAAAGAGGTGAAACCGCTTAAAAGAAAGCAGAATCATGATAGTATGGTGATGGTTGGAGGGCTTTCAACTGATTACAACCAGGGTTTCCGAAAGGTTGTGGACGAAGATGCAAGTAACAGATCTAGTTCTGGCTCAGCCATATCTAACTCTGAGAGCTGTGCACAATTTTGCAGTGGAGATGCTAGTGATTTGACAGGTTGGATATTTACAAAGATTGAAACTCATTGAGACACAAACGTTTCTTTATCACTTCTTTATGCTCGAGAGCGTGATGTAGTCTATTATTTTCTGGGAATAGAGAGCATATCATGCCATGCTTTAATAATGTATGAAACAAATGGTAACAGAAGGACTATGATCCAATTGTTTCCCCTACGTCGCTGTGAAGTTATTTTCAGTTGACTCAAATGAAGATAGGAAGCTTCCATTGCTTTTACTCTATCAACATTGTGGTTTATTTATCTTATTTAGCATCCAATATCTGAAATGTAAACTCTTAAAGTTGCGAAATTTTTCTTATTGTTGATACATGCTCAACCTGTCTTTTATAGGTCCAGCACAGTCGGTGGTGTGGGATACGATGGTACCCTCTAGGAAAAGGACTTGCGTTAATCGTCCGAAACAATCTTCTGTTGAGAAGCTGACAAAGGATCTTTATACCATTTTACAAGAACAACAGTCTTCATACTTCTCTGGATCTTCTGAAGAAGATCTACTTTTTGAGAGTGAAACACCAATGGTTTCGGTTGAGATAGGACATGGAAGCGTCCTAATTAGGCATCCCAATGCCATTCTTAGAGAAGAGGAATCTGAAGCTAGCTCGCTTTCTGTCGATAACAAACATTCCCATAGTAACGAGGCTTATTCTCGGTCTGCAACCCTTTATGATAGCATGGGTGCTAATTTTATCGGTCCAGGAAGTGAAAAGATTAACTTTTCTGGACAAGGGATGCAACAAGAGCAAGTTAAAAGGTAACTCTTCTCCCCAGTTTATCAAAGTTTTCACTTGCATTAGTGTTTATTACATAGATATAGAATTCAAAAACATCTATATAGTTGCAAAACACTGATAAAAAGCCTTTTTGCATCCCAAACTCTAAAACATATGACTATAAGTCTAATATTATTTCCAAGGCCGCAGAATATCCGTGGTTTATGAGGATAATTTTGTATGCATGAGCAAGCATATTCTTGCCTCTGGACAAATGTAGCACAGTTGCTAATAAGGAACTTGGTATTCCAGTGTCAGAGAAGGATGCATATTCTCTCCCTATAAGTAATATTTATATGGTTTGGCGTGGCAGGGAAAAGTCTCAGCATGAGATCTTCCAAATATTGGGAAGCCATAATTCACCGTTGCGTCATATAGATTTGGCTGTAAGCTGCTTTTTATGGTCTTTTCCGCAAAACAATCTGTTCAATTTTTTTTTTTTTTTTTCTTGTTAGATGTGGGCCTAATTCTTGTTTCTTGTAGGATACTATAAATTTTGAGGAGTTCATGAGATACTTGACAAATGAAGAGCAACAACAACTACTGAAGTATCTTCCTTCAGTTGATGTTGCTAAACTTCCTGAAAGGTTAGAATTTTCATCAGTCGTGTTGTTAGGTAGACGATGATCGTATGATGATTGTTTAACTAACAGAGTGTGCAACTTAGCAATATGATTTTTGGGAGATTTCGGTTGTTATTTTAGCCGAGTAAAAGTAATCTAAGAAGAGGATACATGATATGATATTCATAGTGGTTTACTTGTTTTGCATTTGCAGCCTCAAAAGCTTGTTTGATAGCCCTCAATTCAGGGAGAACTTAACTTCCTTTCAACAACTGCTTGGGAAAGGAGTCTTTGATATCTCCTTCTCAGGGGTGAAACCCGAAGACTGTAAAACTTTAAAGAGGCTTGCATTATCCAACTTGTCGAAATCTAAATGGCTTGAACACTATCATCTTCTCAAGGTTTGGATTCATTCTATATTTGTACCTTGTCAGATAATAGTTTATATGGCAAGTGAACCAAGCATTTCATCGCCGCTTATTAGCATCTCATTTTTCATTGCAGAATTCTAAAAGTAGCTCGAGAGCAGCTGTTGTTGCTGGACCTAATGTCACGGCGTCTAATAATTTTGCAAATGCGAAGAGATCACAAGACAGCCAAAATAAAAAATTTCCAGGTTGGCCGAAAATAATTTCTTCTATATTGTTGGATGATGCTAGTTCTTAGGTGTTGGTGAATTTCTTATTAGATGAAACCACTTATTCTCTACTCTGGTAAAGATAAACCAAAGAGTAGAAGCCAACAAAATAAGATAAATACATCTAAAAAAGAGTGAAATTTTCCCCGTCATTAACAAATGCTTAGTGACCTAAAGGGTCTTTAAATGCAAAATTGCTTCTAGTACTTCAAAATTTGAAGAAATGTTGTTGGATTTAATACCATTCGTACCCTTTTTGCAATAGCCAGTTCTGACAAACTTGTGGGATTTAATATTATTCACACCCTTTTAGCAATAGCTGATTTTGACAAAGTTATAAAACAAACAAATGGCACATATCTGATCTCTCTCTCTCTCTCTCTCTCTCTCTTTACATGTTTCGTTGCTCTCACGTGTGCAAAAAAACAGCAGTTTTTCTGTAAACTTCTGTAGCATTATACTGCAACTGCAATTTTCTAAAGGTATTTTGCATGTTGCAGAAGTGAAGATTGTGATGAAGAGCCCCAAGAGGGTGATAATGAAGAGTAGTTATGAAAAGAAAGAAGTCATAGACAATGACGGTTCTTGCTTTAGCCCAAGAAGCCTGTTTGCTTTGCCACCAGATGGCAGCTCATTCTTGCTGGAGTCAATCAATTTTGTCAAAGAAAGTTCCGATCAGGATCTGCTGCTGGACGTGCCATCCCACGGCTCTTTCGCACAAGCAGAGCTTCTCCACCCGGCATTAAGTTTTGGTTCCCAACAGACGAGCACTAGCAGTAGCTCTATATACCCACATCTTCTCCATCCCTGAAAACGCCGAGTGTACCCAGCATCGATCTGTAGGACTATATAAGAATTTTCTATGCCTGAGCTAGAATCCATGACTGCGGTTCACGTATTTTTGCTTGGTAGACACAAAAAGAGAGAAAAAGAAGTCTGTGAATGAGGTTTGATAGTTGTTTCTTCTTTTCCCTTGACTTTTTGAACTTGGAATTCTAGGGGATGAATTTGGGTGGGTTTTTGTTGTATAGGTTGACAATAGGTTGTAATATATAGTTCATTATGCACAAGCGGTGAAATTCTAGGTTTTTGTATGAAAACTTGCAGCTTTTAGTCTTTGCTTGGCTATAGTAAGCATGAGATAAAGGTGGGTTTTTTCTTAATTGTCGTTAGTCATCAACATTTTATTGAAATAAAATGAGGATTACACTGAAGGACATAAAATAAGATCCTCATTTTGGATAGGGAAAAAAAAAAGGTGTTGTCATGGAACAAGAAAGAAAGGAAAGATGAGGATGTTAGGTGTTTCATAAGATAGGATTCTAGGTTGAACAGTTCAACAATGTCTTATTGGCTTGTGAAAGGTGGTTTGGAAGAAGTTAGTGGAGAGAAAATTTCAATGCGAGTTTACTTATCCAAGTGTATGTTACTCCAAATATTAATGGAACTAACCCAACTATAGTATTTTGGCTTGTAGTGCTAGTCTCATTAGTGATATTCCTATGCAACAACTACAAGGCATCAAATTTTAGTTCAAGTGAAAGAGAGTGAATAGTTCTAAGCTTCATCAACCTTTTCTGAAGCCATGTTGAGAATTTAGTCCCAAAACCATTTTCTACATAACAGTTACATAGCAAAGCAATTGAGGTATTTTAAGGTCTCGTTTATTTCACGAATTTGAGTTTTTAATTCGAGTTGAGATGTGACATTTTCTTAGAACTTTTAACTGTAGTAAAAAAAGTTAGGTGTGATATTTTTTAAGAGCTTTTAACTGTAAAAATTTAGAATTAAATACTCAAATCGATGAAATAAATGAGGCTTAAGATTTTTTTTCCTTATAGATATTGCAATGCCTAATTGGACCTAATTGGTACTTACATTCTTTATTTTAAGTTTTGATGCTGCCTAATGAACAAAAAAAAAAGGGAAAGTGTAAATTTCTTTTTTTGGGAAAGTTTTTTCTTTTTTGGAAACAGATATCATTCTGAAAAGCAAGTATATTCATTCAAATTCAAAATCTTTAGAAAATAAGCCCAAGATCTCTGTTCAGTCTCTTCCCTAATAATTCAGTTGGGAGGATGATAACTGTGTAAATATATTTGAATTCGTCTCCTGATAGTTAATACCTTTAATCAGCTTTATCCCTCTCCCACTGTAAGAAAATCACACAAAGACAGGTTCTTCTTAATTTCAAGTCCTTTTTTTATTTTTTTAAAATCAAAATATTGAAATAGGCTATTTTGTTGCTATTAAAACGGTTTTCCAATGACATAAAGAAAAGTGCTTGGATATTTGTTTGATTGTATCCTTCTTTAAACATGTATAGAGGATCGAATCCACACCTACTAAACTTAAACCCCACCCACCCCATCTTAACCTATGATTAGTCAACTTAAATTTCACTGATTTGAGTTTTCAATTTTAATTTCACTACAGTTAAAAACTCTCATAAAAAGTCACATTTAACCTTTTCTGTTAAGCTCTCACATAAAATCTTATCTCAGTTCAAATTGAAAACTTGAATTCAAATCAACAAAATGAACTAGGCATGAGAACCAAACTCCTCATGTAAAAATGTACTGAAAAAAAAAAAAAAAAAACCTCGTTTAAAATTGTGACTTAACAGGCAAAGATTGTCCTTCCATTGTTATAGTGGGCCTATGAATGACCATGATGCTGTTAATGCAAAGCCGAGGCAGCACACTTGGGAACCAATCTAAAGTTGAACGTAGCTTTTAGCTTGGCAAAAGCAACACAATCCTTGTTCAATGCACACATGCTTCTACAAAAAGTTCCACATTTTTCCCAACTTCCATAATGTTGTTAATGCAACTTCCTTTACACCTGTTTCCTTCTTTGTTCGAGTAATCCCGCACTTAATGACCATTCATTTACTGTACCATTTAGTAGTGAAAACAAAAAAGATAAATTATACGAATGGTCTCTAGACTCTTTAAAAGGTGACAGTTTAATCATTAAATTTTTATTTTTGACGAAACAAACTTCAAACTATTTAAAATGGTGTAATGTAATGCCGTCCAAAAAGTAACGACATAATAACCTAAAAAAGTGACATTATGGTCAACTTTAATAGGTTATGATTTAATCCTTATTTTTAGACAGGATTTAACAAAAATGATAACATTGTACCCTTTTAAATAATTTAAGGCTCGTTTCGTCAAAAAAAAATTAGAGACCAAACTGTCACTTTTTAACAAATTTGGGGACTATTCGTGCCAATTACGCAAACAAAATATAATGGAACAATTGTTAATAAAGTGGTATCACTATTGTCAAAAACAAGATATTCTATACAAAAACAAGATATTCTATACAAAATAGCCTAAACAAGATATTCCAATCTTGGTTGCTGAATTCATAGCACCAGAAACAGAGAATCACCTTGCAAAATGACACTCCTAATACTAACTGACCAATCATTCCCTAACCATCAATCTACCAACTCTTCTCCTTCTAATTCTTCCAAAATTTTCGGTTCCCAAATCATCACCATCCCTGAAACCAGTTCCCTCTTCCGGCCACCATACCGGCCGAGGAAAAGTCATGCCACGCCCCTTACAGACTTCCAGAATGCTAAAGCTTGAAATGCCATCATCACAATCTTCTTTAGATAGTCTCAACACATCCAACAATGTGACCTCACTATCACCACCGGCCACGTTCCCCGATCGCCCGAGAAGCGAATTGGGCAGCATGCGACGGCCCGGCGGCAATTGTTCGTGTTCAACAGCCGCTGTCTCCTGCGTGGCGCCGGTTCTATTGTTTCGAACAGTGTCAACGAACTCTTGCGAAGATGTTTTTTCCTTGCCATTGCTTTGTTCTCCATTGGCTGCGTTTGTTCCATTGCTCTTACCATTTCTCGGATTCAAAACGCCGTAGTTTGGTTCGGTTCCCAATTCCACGACTTCGGTGGAGTCATCGTTATCGGTGAACTCCAACTTCCTCTTTGCCGAGCTTTGTTCACCGGATTTCGCATCTTCACCGTCATTTTCAAGATTTTCGTTGGAATCAGAACTGTGATTTGCTGAAGTAGCCCTCTCTGGCTCCAATTCTTCATCAGATTCTTCTAAATTTTGCACTGAAACCTTCAATTTCTTCAATGGTGACTCGCCCAAACCATCCACCAAAGACAATTCCCTCGTCAAAACCCTAGCTCTCGTCGATTCTGTCTCCAAAACCTGCACAAGCGATCGATTCAAGTCCAAATAGGCGTTTTCCCTCTGCGTAAGCTGAACCTCCGAAAACCCTAGGTCCGAGTCCCGGCTCAAATCCACCGTCCCCCCGGCACAGTTGGCGTCCGAGCTCCCAATTCCGATGGCCACCGTTTCACCGCCGCCGTCAGGACTCCTCCGACCAAGGTCGCAGCCGTCGACGTCCACCGTCGGTCGCACCTCGTTGGAGCTTTGAGCCGCCGACTCCTCTGGCGGGGTGTGGAAAACGTCGCGGGAGTTGCTGTTGTTCTCATCTTCTTCGCTCTCTGGTGGCGACACCATGACGATCCCGGTGGAAGCGAGCGGAATCTCGCCGGTTGATTCGGAGGACGACCCATCGTTTTCGGGGTTGTAGCGCTCGGGGGCGAAGGGGCAGCGTCGAAGGCGCTCCTCCTGAGAGGAGGAAATCTGGCAGAGAGGGAGCAGGGAGCCGAAGGGATCGTTGCCAGCGATGGCGCCGCCGCCATCCATTTCTTCTTCTTCTTTCTCAGGCGTCGAAGTTCTGGAAGTTTCCAGAATTTGTGTGGTTCTTTTTTTTTTTTTTTGGTCTTTTATTTATTTTTTATTAAGTTGCATCTTCTTCAATACGTACGAGTATTTGATTGGTGAGGCGATTGAAGTTCCCGCCTTTTTTTTAGTCAACGGTGTACGAGTAATCGATGAAGGGTCAGGATTAGACAATTTATATCGAAAGGTTTTTTTATCTCGAATATTATAGTTTACAAATGTTTTTTACAATGAAATTAATAAAATTATGTGTCAGAGTCATCGCCAGCCCGTCTAGCTCAGTCGGTAGAGCGCAAGGCTCTTAACCTTGTGGTCGTGGGTTCGAGCCCCACGGTGGGCGTGTCATTTTAGATGTGTTTAGAATTAATTTTGATTGTTTTTTAAAATGTTTTTACACGTCTTTTGAGACACGAAAATAAAAACAGTATGTAAACTGTGTTTGTTTAGTAAATATTTTTAAAACAAAAATAAAAAACAATGGCCGTGTTTGGAGTTGTTTTTCTTTTTCACATTTTTTGAGAAAGAAAAAATAAAAACGGGAGAAAAACGACGTTTGGCACAATTAAAGATAAAAAATGAAAATGAAAATGATTTTTTAGTTTAGTGTAAAATTAGAGATAAATGAAAAATGACGTTTAGTCGTTTTTTATTTTTTATTTCCGTTTTCTCCTCTCTCGAGTAGAAAGAGAGAGAGACATCAATGAATTTTTTATACTGAAAGCAATCTCTTCATAAAACTACCAAACGCATTTTCAAAAATAATTTATGTCTGATATTGAAAACATTTTCATTTCTATTTTTATACAAAAAATAAAATCATTTTAGAACGAGTTCCAAACGCACCAAATGAGAATAATTTTTGTAAAGGAATTAGAAAACGGTTGTTATCAACAATGTTATAATATATTAATTAATAATTATAACCAAACACAATTTCACTTTTTTATTATACTCAAAATAATCTCTTAAAAAACCAACCAAACGTAATTTCAGAATCGGTTTCAGAATAATTGTCAAAATAATCTCATTTTTATTTTTATACTAAAAATAAAATTATTTTAAAAATGTTACTAAATAACCCCTTTATATTTCTATTTCTTTTTAGAAGAGTTATGGGGAAAAACCCCCCATATTAATCTTCTTGTGGAGAATAAAAGTTTTTTTTTTAAAAAAAAGGGAAGAATAAGTAAGAATACAAGTTAAATTAGCTCACCTACTTCTTGTTTCCCTTTCAGATGAAAATTAAAATATAGAATTAATATATCTTTTTTTTTTATTTTTCTTTTCGTTTTGTATAAATGATCATACATTTTCTTTTTAACTTAGATATCATTAAATTTAATTATTGTAAGTGATTATTATAATATGTTGAAAATGAAATTTCATCAAATAAGATTACTGCTCATGTTTAGCTTACAACAATTGAACTCTCAAATATGAGCAGTAAATTAAAAGTGCATAAGTAGATGACATAATAAATTTATAGTGGTCATTATCAATGTATATACTACGTCAACTATGTTGCTAGTTGTGGTTTGATTATGGAGTATAATAATTCTCAACAAGGATAATTCAGCTAACCTTGGAACTTATCCTCTTATTCTATTGGAATTTAAACAGAAAAATCTTGCGGAGGATATTTTTGTAATTCTCGAAATTCAAATATTCTTATTTGTGTCACTAACTCGAGTAGACTACACAATCTTTAATTTTATTAAGTATTGACTAAAATGAATGAGCTACATATAGCTAACTAACTATGAAAAGATTATGACATCACCGAGAAGGCTAGGATGATCTATCAACATTTTATTAGATTTAAATTGTATATTTATAAAAAGAGTTTGGTTAAATAAATACAACCAAAAAAAAAAAAAACCTTATGAAGCGGGCTAATAAATAACAAAAAATAAACCAAAAATATTAATTTTTCAATGTTCATCAAGAGAAATAGAAAAGGATTACCTATAAAATTCCATTTCAACTACAACCCTTTTAACTATATGTCTTCCAATATTTAAAATGTAACATTTATTTCATCTGAACTATTAAATATTTATCAAAATTCTTTTTTGTTAGGATTTTTAATTCGGTAACCCAAACTCAAATTTAATACTCGAGTTTGAACTGGAGTAGTGAAACATCACTTATCCCTTGAATTTCAATAACTCGAATATGTCTTCTATAGTGCAGATTCTTTGCATAACAGTCTTTTCACAACCTTAAAATACAAGGTTTAGGTTTTCAGAAGGGAATATTTTCCATTTTCGATCATTTTCGTTTTCGTAATATGTTGACATAGGAATTGCGGATTCTTATTTTGATTGTGTTTTTATATTTATTGTTTAGGCCTTCAAAAGGAATATTTTTCATTTTCAATAATTTTCTTTTTGGTAATAAATTGACATAGGAATTGCGGATTCTCGTTTTGTTTGTTCTTCCTATTCCTTGTGCCATATATGTTTAATTTCTAATTTCTGCTTAAATTTTTCCTTGTTTAAAAATTTCTTATAAGCTATAACTATGTGCTCTCTTCTGTAATTTAAATAAGACTCTATTTAATGAAACTGAGTTATTTGTGGCAATTTGATCTCTTCTAAATTTTGGCATTCTATATAAATCAACATGTTAATACATTTATCCCACCACCTTTTTTTTTTTTTTGATAACTAATACATTTATCCATTTTATTTTTATTGTTTCAATTCATCTAACTTAAGTTTATGCTACATCTATTTTTTAATAGAAATTAACACAATTGATATGTGGTATATAATATGAGTCTAAATTTGTTGTCTCTATTTTCCTATCTCATTAGCTATTGCTCTACTAATTATTTGTCACGTCATATAAATTTAAGAATCTGACCCTATAAATAGGAACAAAATACTAAAAATATTTGAACAATTCATGAGGTATCAAACTTTAATTGAAACGACACCTACCGAGGCAAGAAAATAGAATAAAAGATCTTGGCGATTCTATTATTTAACAAACTAATTTAAAAAAACAATTTTTTTTTCAATAAATAATCCCTCCTTTTCTTTTAATTACATGACGATACATTATATTGTGATTATCCAACATATTTCACTCTTCATGTGGCACGTATTATTTTGAATTAATTACAAAAATTCTTTCTGAACCATGACTTATGACATTTTGCCCTCTAATCTTTAAAACATAACATCTGTTTCCCATGAACTATGAATTGTTAACAAAAATGCCACTTCCTTCATTTTTTAACAAAAAAGTAGCTCATATTACATAATTGAAGGGTATTTTAGTAGTCCTTCATGATCTTGAAAATATTACAAATTAAAAAATTGAAACTTTATAAGTACTTTTTAATTAATTAATTAATTAGAAGAGTAAAATTGAAATTTTGTTTAATTGTTTTATTTTATTTATTATCCTATTAAATTAAAATAGTATAATAAATTATTTAGCAATTGTGCACCAAATTACTAAATCAAATTTTATTTTTTAAAATATAAATTCAAGAATCATGAATAAAAGAGTAATTGTGCACTAAATTATTTAGCAACAGTCAATATTTGTGTGATATGTGGCGATTCTATCAAAAATACTAACGGAAGGAGCATTTTTTGTTAACAATTCATAGTTTGAAAAAATAAATGTTACGTTTTAAAAATCAGATGGCAAAGTGTTACACAAGTCATAGTTTAAGTAGAATTTTTGTAATTAATGCTATTATTTTTGTAAGAATAAAAAAATAAAGCGTTTTTTAGTGCTCATTTGGTTCACACGTTCAAGTCAGTGATTTTGATTCATTAGCAGGAATTTTATGAGAGAATCATTAGGGGGAAATTTTTTAATTTCAATTCTTTGTGTAGGGGTGGCAATGGGGTGGGGTGGGGGCGGGAGATTATTTTCCATTCCCATGCCCGCATAAGAAGGGGCAGGGTCAAGAACTTTCCCCATACCGCCCTATCCCCATCATATAGAACTTTCATTTTAAAACTATACAAACTTAAAATAAAAATAGAGTAAAAATTCATTATACAATTAGATCAAAATGAAAAGTTCAATAATAAAACTAAATTCAACATATTGCTAACTGAATTAAAAAATAATAACCAACGCATAAGCGAAAAAAGTTTAAAAACATCAAAACATAAACATAAATTATCTTTTATTGTCCATTCCTAACAGCTTCAAAAGAGAATGTGGAGGTACTAGACCGTGCCTTTCTATGTATACATATAATATAGGAGAAAATTAATAATTGCCTTTTTCTTTTTCTGATATAAGGAACTATAATCGATAGTTTCCCTTTCTTAATAAAAAAGTGTAATTACCCTTTTAAGTAAAAATAATTTTAAAAGATTATGTGTATCTATACATATATTTATATAAAAAAAATACCACATTAATATCATAGTGAAAGCATGTTAAAGAGTACTTTTCCGTCTCTATCCCGTCACAAATCTGGGACTAGAATTTATCTCCATTTCTATCCCCATTCCCGATAGTTATCCCTCATTCTTGTCCTGTTCGGGCCGGGGCTTTGTCTCTATGGGAATTATTGTTAGCCCTATTTTTATAAAAAAAAAAACACTGTAACAGAATTATAATAATGAGTTTAAATGCATTTCCTAAACAGATTCTTAGAAATCGGGAAGGAATCTTATGAACGGCGTCGTTTCGTTAAGTGAAGGAACACTTCCGCTTTTTACCCATTGGGCCTACAAAAAGAAAAAGAGAGAGAGAGGAATGAAACGGATTTCTGGCATAGTTTTGCGCTCGCACACAACTTCACAATTTTAATTAGTGTCACTTCCTTCCTTCCTTCATGCTTCGGGTGTGAAGAACAGGCCGAATATGGCGGATTTTCACTGACGAACCGCCCATTTTCTCTCTACTACAACTACACAGAATCTCTCTCTCCTCTCTCTCTTTCCC